TTAAACATTGTAACACTAATCCCTGTTTGTTACTTGATTGAAACAGAAAGGAGGCTGTGGGTAATACACAAGGGAGATTAATTGCCTTTCAGGCAAAAAGCCTGCTGAAAAAAAAAACGGAATTCATCAGTAGATTGACAGTGACTTGCATTGAATTACAACAAGCTGCTGTAGATATAGTATAACCAGGAACAACTGACATGGTTTGTTACCTACGGTAATTATTTCCCAAATTTTGCATAATGCCCCATATGGAAATGAAAATTAACTATTTTAATCTATAATCCAGATCAAAATGTAATACCTTTAAGGTTTAGTGTCTGACTGAATCCCGGCATTCTAGATCTCCATGTAAAATGTGCAAAGTGCACACTTCCAATCACCTTAATGACTAGCTTTTAACTCTTGGCTCTTTAGGCTTTCATATGATGTAGATTCGTAGGTGGGTTTTGTGTTGACTGGTATCTGAATAACTACTTGACTATTTAAGTGGCAGCATCATGCTAGCGTGGTGAGAAGGGTTTCAGTCAGACAAGGTACGTCCCACAGACCTGCATATTTCTAGATACTGATAAAGAGGCAAGACAAACGAACAGGTGCTTCCTGGGCAGGTGTTAATACTAGAACTTTCCCACAAATCTTCATATGACCAGCAATGCATATAAAAAGTAGCTTGCTTGGGAGAAAGCATGACAGTGGTGTACCACACCATGACTATCAAGATTGGGGCAGGCGTGTCAGGGTGTTAAGAATATGTGGTTCCGATAAACCAAGAACCATGGAAAATCTTCTCGCCCTCAGGTGTCCCAAAGTCATACTCATTAAGTGATTATTGACTCCCACAGGAAAATAAGACCATCTGAGTGGTTTAACTGATCAAAAGAATCTGTCGCCCAGACTCTTCCTGATTAAAATGAAATGTAAATGAGTAAATGAGAAATGACTTGAACATAAGTGGAACTGCCGGTGGTACCTCAGCTACTGAGCTTTTGTGCGGTGCCTCTGTAAGAGGACTGGCTGTGAAAATAAGTCTTTGCCAGTTCCTGGGACACCTCTGTTGTTGGAACCTCGCAGGGGCAAAAAACTGGGACTTTCACTTTAGTGTGAAAAAATAATGGAAAAGGGAAAGAAAAAACTTTTGCACAATGGTTCAAAAAGTGGAATGAAAAACAAGATTTTGACCAGACTTAATGGGTTTAATTTTTGACATGGATGGATGAAAGTGACTATGTTGAGAGACTGTGTGGTGTGAGTCTTTCTTTAAGCAGATGATGTTTGACAGGTCTCTAGAAATGTCTACTGCGTCTACTAGTGGAAAAGTGATCACTGTAACCATATCAACACCTTTCACCTCTTGCAGTGCTGACATTTTAACCTGACAGTGTAACTAAAAAAATACATTAACCTATATTATTCTGTTAAGTTTGTTATCCAGATTTATGTATATTTGCTTATCAGACACTATTATTCAAAATCTGTGCATTTGTACTTGTGGCTTTTTACTGGAGATTAAGTACTTGATCTTTTGTACCACAACAGGGATTCTAAGTTCTACCTGCAAACCTGATGAGAAAATTAGTATTATTCTCTTTGAATTAAAATAATCATACTTATTATGATACATCATGTTATTTATATACTGAACACTTGCTTTACTTCAATATAAAGTCTTTGCAATAGTGCAGTACACTTAGATAATAAATATGAACCTTATATTCTAATGAAAATCTGCTCACTGTGAAAATGATAGAATATCACTGAAACCCAATAAAGCTGAATATTGGTGGGCGAGAGCAATACCCACCAATCCTGTTTCTCGTACTTCTGCCAGCAGTCAACTGAGCAGGACTGATCATACAGAAAAACCAGTGACAGGATTATGCAGCAGCCCTTAGTAAACAGACATATTCATTTAACATATAGATATTTAATGTTTTTAGGTGTGTGCATATAAATATATGCATAAATATATTGCTGTTTTAGTTTTCCTATTTCCCTTATTTAAAAAAATACATATTTGCTGAAGTAGATCAAATTCAGTAGTCTTTGCACTGCTCTTAGTGCGCTAATGCCAAATCAAAGCAATAGAAAAAAACCTGTAAGACAGTGCCCTCCAGTGTAGGATAACAAAAACTACATCTTAATACTGAATTTTTAAAAAAGAACTTTCTCTGGCATAAACTTGAAGCAGCAAATGTTTTGAAAATGGAGCAAACACAATCAGGTTCTTTCATTTCACTAAATTTCAGGCACATTTGGGCAGAGTTTAGTCAAAATGTACATAGAAAAATGATTCATACCCGTGGGGAAATTTAATTAAGCCTCGTAAAACATTTGCTGTATTATTTGACACCACTAGATGGTGCTCTTGGTTGGCTTTGGGGCATGCTTTGAGCACTTTTATGAACAGAGAGCACACTCTAGTGGGGTCAGAAAATGCAGCAAATGGTTCACAAAGAATCATTTGCCCATGACAAGGGGAATTATTTTTTCGCCTACTCCATCTCGCTGTTCATGAGTCACACATATAGGTGTGAATGAGACTGGGGGTTACAGCAGTGGGTGGGTCCCCCAGAATGCAGCAATGTGGGGTTAAAGGCTCTGCTGAGCCACAAATTTTCTACATCTTCCTTTTTGGTGTCAATACACTTTATTTCGGAATAATGACAGCAACCTTCAAACACATCAAGACAAAGGGTAATGGCAGCGTGTGGCTCAGTGGGCTAAGCCTGTGTGCTTGTAATCACAAGGTTGCCAGTTCAAACCCTCCCTCAGCATGTCTGAGGAAGAGCAAGGCCCTTAACCCCCAGCTTCCTGTGCACCCCAACAGGTGGCTGCCCTTTGCAGATAGCTTGTTCTGCAAAGAGCAAGTTGATGGAGGTGTAAAAAGAATTTCCCCATGAGGGAATATTATTAAACTTATGCTGATAGCCATTGAGTAAGTTGACGTGATGGCACTAATACATCCATCAATCTTCTACTCCCCTAAGATGGAGCCTGGAGTCTATTCCAGAATAGGGAATGAAGATGGGGTACACCCTGGATGGGATCCAAACCCATGTCAGGACACATGCATGTCCTCACTAACACACACACACACAAACACACGTGTTGGTGTACCTATCTAAATGGGGACCTTCCATTTATTTCTGTGGGAAAACCCAAATCCCAATCATGACAGCCTTAACTCCTATCCAGCCACTCTAACCTTAGTTAAAAATATAAAGTACAGATATTTTATGGTTTCCACTGAAATGAATGTAGCTGATTATGAGAAAGACCTTGGTGTGTATGTTGATGCTTCCATGTCCCACTCTCGCCAGTGTGGGGAAGCAATAAAAAGGCCAATAGGATGTTGGGTTACATCTCTAGGTGTGTGGAGTTTAAGTCAAGGGAGGTGATGCTACAATTATATAATTCCTGGGTAAGACCCCACCTAGAATATTGTGTGCAGGTTTGGTCACCTTACCTTGGAAAGGACATTGCTGCCTTGGAAATGGTTCAACGTAGGGTTACAAGAATGATTCCTAGTCTTAGAGGAATATCTGTGAAGAGATTTTAGTTGAGCTGTATCTGTTCAGCCTCAAGCAAAGGAGACTAAGGGGGGACATGATCCAGGCATATAAGATTCTAACAGTTACTTCTGTATTAGTTCAAATACAAGAATTTGTGGTCATAGGCGGAAATTAGCGGGAGAACATTTTAAACTGGTTTTGAGAAAGTACTTCTTTACACAGCATGCAGTTAAGATATGGAATAGTCTTCCTGTTAGTGTAGTGCAGGGGTCACCAACCTTTTTGAAACTGAGAGCTACTTCACGGGTACTGAGCCATACGAAGTTTAGGTCCTTCATGTGTAATAAACACCTTTTAAATGCTTTTTTTGGATATTGTCATTTTCAAATCTATATAAATGCAAATGTGATTAAAGAAGAATAGCAAGAGGACAAAATTAAATTTTAGATGCTGCTCACTGGTGAGTTGTGCTATTTTTAGAACAGGTCTGCGGGCAACTTGGGGGCATCCTGGTGCCCGCGGGCACCATGTTGGTGACCCCTGGTGTAGTGCAAGCTAAAACCTTGGGTTTCTTTAAATCAGAACTAGATAAGATTTGAACAACTCTCCCCTAATGAGCTTGATGGGCCTCCTCTCATTTGTAAATATCTTATGTTGTTAACCATAAGTAACCAAACAAAATAAAAGATTTTTGGCGTTTTTAATTTCTTGATTGCATTCAGGGATTTTTATAAAACTTTCGATTAACCAACTGGGAACCTGAAAAATGTCCCCAAGAGTAAGGAAGTTCAGGTTTTAGTTTCAGGTCTCCAAATGTGATCTATGTAACCAACCCCCCCCCCCCCCCCCCCCCCCCCCCCCCC